GTTTCCAGTAGTGCACTTTAACATGAGCTGTTGAGTTCTAAAGTTTCTAGTTAGCTAGACTTTGTTTTACTAAGCATATGTAGTAGCCAGTATACTAATATATGTTTCAAACGTTACGTTAACCTCCGTAGAAAGATAGAAAGAAAGAAGCAAAGAAAGAAGAAAAGGAATCACGCCACTAAGAGTTGGTTATGCTAATGAGCCCGTGCGCTCATAGTTTATGTGACCCCTCCAGGAGTCAGTCCTAACACCGACTCCGTGTTGTAAACAGAAGAAGAAGGTCTCCCGTGCTCTTGCCCGAGCGTAGGGTGGTGCCCATCTCCATTTCGTAGCCCTTGGGCGACACACAATTGTGCAATGCACTACAGCAGGGGGCTAGTCCGCTGGTAGTGCTGTGTGTTTGACCTTCCCACACTCTTTCTCATATGTGCTGAGTGCTAAGCAGAGAAAGAAGTATGTACCACCGTTGTAAACACGTCTGGAATAAAACTCCTCGTCTGCACTTGTCGTTGTCCGAGTTGTTCAACGCGTCCTTGGTCACTAACTGGCGTAGTGGTGACGCACTCAAGCTACATGCTTATTTTCACGTCACCACTGGACATAAAATAAAAATTACATCACAAAACACAAATATGGGAATCGTCCAGGTAACGAGTGAACAAAGTTAAGCTACTAAGATATTATATATGAAAATAATAGTATAAATCAATTGTTAAGTCGCTTGGTGATACTGTGGACTACTGTGTTGCATATTCACTAGTATATAAAAATCATGATCATGATAATAATCTTTTTCACGATATAGGTGTGAGTGTGTGTGTGTGTGTGTGTGTGTGTGTGTGTGTGTGTGTGTGTGTGTGTGTGTGTGTGTGGTGCGATGTGTGATTGTGTGTGTCTGTGTGTGTGTGTGGTGTGGTGTGGTGTGTGTGTGTGTGTGTGGTGCGTGTGTGTGTGTGTGTGTGTGTGTGTGTGTGTGTGGTGCGTGTGTGTGTGTGTGGTGCGTGTGTGTTTGTGTGTGTGTGTGTGATTGTGTGTGATCAAACATCTATGTGTGAGCGCAGAAATTTCCCTACAGCGTCATCTAGCGATAGTTTTGGGAAGTGCAGGTCACATACCTCCGTGTAGTCCGGTCTCTCAGCAGCCACAGAAAGGGACGCAGACATCGGAAAATCATCCGGCCACAGAGGCTGGTACCAGAGTCAGATAGAAAGAAGGTCTATCAAAAATGATGACTTTGACAGTTTGCTCTCTCTTTTATATCGACGTTGCGAGTAAATAGATCTAGAAAGCTAGTTGTTAACTTCCCCTACTACTAAAGGATATTTGAATTCGTTTTTTTTTTGTTGCATGTTTGTCCGCATGTTACAACAGACATGACAAACGTTTCAAATACGAATCTGCCTTTTCAAAGACGCCATGGAGAGTAGAGTGCCAATACTTACGTGTAGATGACGTAGTCTGACGTCAGCAGGACGAGAACGATGACGTGTAAGATGTTGTGGGGATGGCTAAAGAATCCGCGCGGCGTCATGTGAGCCATCTGCAAAAGTCAAAGTCATGATTAATAATAAATTATCATTGATTATCATATCAGCTTTGAACATCTCCTGCTAAGATCACCTGGCGTAAAACAGTTGTGAAAGAGCTGAAGAGCTTCGGCCATATCTGGGATACCATCCAGAGAGTAGCCCAGGACAGAGGGAACTGGAGAACCTTTGTTGCTACCTTACATGCCGGGACTGGCATTAACTTAAGGTAGTAAAAGCACGTCGGCAGAACGTACTGCACCTGCGCGAAACCCGTAATGTATTGTACCGTAGCATTTCGGCAGAATGTCTCATGTAAGGTTGTATTCGCTCATATAAGGTTAGCATTTCGACAGTAGTTTCCAAATGTTATGTCGGAAAGAATGTCCTCTGCAACAGGCAAAATTCTGATGCAACGTTGACCAAAAACCCAACGAAAAACGCGAAAATACGGGGTTCTGCGCAGGCGCATTACGTTCTGCCGACGTGCTGATAGTAAATAACCATGGCTGAGGACATTTTGGGTCTTTTAAAAATGCAAGTTGCAGTTGAGTATGGACTTTTATTTTTTGGCAGAAGGTGCGTTATTGTAAGACCATAATTTATGCAAGTTTTTATGACGTCACGATGACGTCATTGATAGTTATGGGGCCACGCCCATTTTTTTACAACTCCAGCCTCCTTACCGATAGAGCCGTGTCCAGCCAATAGACGGCCGGGTAGAAAGCCTGATAAGAGCGTCAGCCAGATGTAAATTGCGCTGTGTGGTGTATCGGGTTTGAGACTGTATGATTTGAATTGTGAAGGTTTTGCAGTTGGATAATAGATGCACCGTATTGCGCAACTGGCTTTCCGGGTGAGTCGGCTGCAGTTCAGGTCACGTCCGTAGAGGGCGATTTCAAAGTATACGTTACGAGCAGATACGCCGACAGGATTTTTTGGTTTCTAGATATTTTGTAGTTTGTACCTTCTTCTCAAACATATTCGATTTTCGTATTTGTGAAGTGCACCCTGCTATAATTCTTACCGCGTCGAAGTGAGTCATCTTGGGGTCCTTAACTATAGAAATCCCCATAGGGCGAAAACTGTGTTCTGCTACCTTACCGATAGAAAAGTGTCCAGCCAATAGACGGCTGTGCAGGCGACCCCGCCCCACAGCACCCAGGTCTGCAGCTGCGCACTAGCGGCCACCATCTGCGCAGGCTCCCAGTGCGACAACGCGCAGTGGAACACGATCGTCAGCAGCAGCGCCCCCGTGCAGACCGGGTGGCACTGCAGCTTCAAACATCTGCGAGCAGAAACATCGCGTATAACAGCAGGATATTTCATACGTTAAAAAGTTGCGAAAAAAACTTCTTTGAAAAAATATTGAGTCAGACTTATACTCATAGAGGATCATTTTTGTTTGTTTATTTGCACAACAGCAATAAAAAATTATACATAATACACTAATGATTAATAAAACAGGTGCAGGAGGAGGAAAAAGCTTATTGAGCTTATGCTAAGCCCTCCTTCTCTATACTAACCAAAACTAAAGATAATAGAATTGAAATAAGGCATACACACATAAGGAATTGTTATCAAAATAATTCAAACATGGGCAAAATGATACAATAACAATAATGAAACAATAGTATACATAAATTGAGATGAAATGAAATTGATATGAAACAATACATACATACATAAGGAATTGTTATCAAAATAATTCAAACATAGGCAAAATTTACCGGTAATATTTGAAAGGTTTTCATACTAGTATGTTGTACATGATTTGCTGGGAAAAATGTTATTGCAGAACAGTAATCATGATAAATAGTAGGTTTTTATTCTTTCATAGACTATGAAAACTGTACCTGGCAGCGTGCGTCTTTCTCAGCAGCGTTTTAGTTCCCAGTCCGGTCGCATGGTGGCGCCCTTCTAACTGCAGAAAGAGTAGTATGTTATTTCTAGGATGTAAGAACTTGGATCATTTGGCCATGTTGATTTGATTATATGGATGACATCCTCCGGGAGCCCCAAAACTGATGCGAATAAAAAAAAAAGTTTTGCAAAAAAAAAAGTTCTTTTCATTATGAAATTTACGTGGTCATGAGGGTTGAGCAAATGGCACAGAATATGGTTTAGCGAATAATCTAGTCTTCACGTTCATTTCTTTACAATTCCGTCTTTTTTCGTTTGATTTTGGCATTCTACGACATTGGCATAGTTTTTATTAATTTTTTTGTAACTAATGGTATATTTTTGCTCATTTTGCAACTGTTTTGTACGATTTACAGTATGGTTGAAAACTTTTTTTTGTGGAAACGGCCGAAAATTCATGCGCGCGCGGATGTCATCCATATAATCAAATCAACATGGCCTTATGTCCAATAAGATGTTTAAATGCGAGTCAGTCTCATCAATTGTCACTAGAGGGTCATAGTTTTTTTTACCAACGACGTGCTGAAATGATGGAAAAGCTAAGAAGGCCACTTAATCTTAAGACATGAACAACCTTGGCTGAATGCAACAACAAACAAACAAACAAACAAACAAACAAACAAACTCACGGCGTCCGTGACGTAAGCAGCCGCCAGTCGGTACCAGAAGTCCTCCTGATCCATATTTGGGTCGCGTCGCTCATGACGTCATCGTTCTGACGTCATCCTTGTCTTTTCTGTGTAAGAAAAAAAAAACTACGTTCAGTGTGATTGAAATCATCACATTGGAATTGATTGGAATCAAACGGCTCGGTCAAAATTTTAAAACTGAGGATATTATTAGGGCAGTTGTAAATATGTATTCTCACGACAAGATGATGATGAAATATGCGGTCAAAATTCAGCAGTCATTTTACTCTCCAAGCTCCTTTTGGGTTATTTTTGGAGTGTTTTTAGACTTTTTATCGGGGTTTCTTTTTTGCATTGGAATTCTTCTTTCAGACGTTGGGTTGGGTGAAAGAAAAATTCCAGTGCAAATGAAATACCCCGATAAAAAAAGCCTAAAAACACGTTAAAAATACCCCAAAACCCAAACCTCTACTTGGAGAGTACAGTCATATCGTTGTACGGACCTACGCTTTGTCTAAACCTGTTCCGTACTTTTTCATTACTTAAGGTGCTTCTCTGTATGGGGGACACCTCCAGTCTAAGGTGTAACCCTAAACACCTGTTCACACCTGCGTGGCGACAGATACGCCGTCCAGGTGAGAAGGCGCCGCCGAAAGTGGTTTTTGATAACAGGTTCCACCCCGCGGCGCCCGGTTTGGGACGCCGATTGTGTAAAGCGGTAATTACTGTCATCTGTCTTCACACACAATACACCGGGCTGCTGCGGTAAGCCGTAAGGCCATGTTGATTTGATTATATGGATGACATCCGCGCGCGCATGAATTTTCGGCCGTTTCCCAAAAAAAAGTTTTCAACCATACTGTAAATCGTACAAAACAGTTGCAAAATGAGCAAAAATATACCATAAGTTACAAAAAAAAATTAATAAAAACTATACCAATGTCGTAGAATGCCAAAATCAAACGAAAAAAGACGAAATTGTAAAGAAATGAACTTGAAGACTAGATTATTCGCCAAACCATATTCTGTGCCATTTGCTCAACCCTCATGACCACGTAGATTTCATAATGAAAAGAACTTTTTTTTTTTTGCAAAACTTTTTTTTTTTATTCGCACGCGCGCATCAGTTTTGGGGCTCCCGGAGGATGTCATCCATATAATCAAATCAACATGGCCTAAGCTTAAAATGCCTGTCATTTGTACCGTACCGATGGGGGAAAACAAACATCGATACTAGCGTGTGACGAAACCGGTCTTAAGCACATATACATTGTGCAGCTTCGTTAAGTCCTAAATATCTGAGAGAGAGAGAGAGAGAGAGAGAGAGAGAGAGAGAGAGAGAGAGAGAGAGAGAGAGAGAGAGAGAGAGAGAGAGAGAGAGAGAGAGAGAGAGAGAGAGAGAAACAGACAGAGAGACAGACAGAGAGAGAGATCAGATCAGCTTATAAACTGAACACTCCTCGCAGCAGAACTGATCGTTATCAGAATAGTGCCCTTCCTTTCATGATCCGCCTGCTTAATATGTATATGTAACACTGTCACTTTTTTTAACCTAAGACTTATTTTAGTGTTACCAGTGCCCGTCTGTTTTGTTATCTGCTACGATATTAATTTGCACTTGAAACGTTGTTGACAATATTTTATATACATTTTATGTAATGGTTTATTTCTATTTTAATCGCTTAATATGACGTTTTATACTAATAATGTGATGCCCCAATGTCAATTCAGCCTCTGGCTGCCATTTTTGGGACAGTGTTGTTGTGTTTTAATGCAAATAAACCATTGATATGATATGAGAGAGAGACAGACAGAGAGAGAGAGGTTCAGAGACAGAGATGGACAGAGACTGTGACAGAGGGAGAGAGACAGACAGAGGGACAGACAGAGAGAACGAATCCAACTCGCTGTGCTGATGTTTACCTTGTTAATTTGCCGCCCAATTTGCCGTGACACATAGCAATTAAGCTCAGCTTGAACAATTAAGCATGGGAGCATCTTAAGTCAGCACTGCTATTCAAAAGCTAAGAAAATATCTAAGAAAAAAAACATTACGATGACAAATCACAGGAAACATTTTGATCACATGCCGAACGACAGGTGGGGTCGTGTGGCGTAGCGGCAGAGTGCGAGACTCGGAACCTAGAGGTCCCGGGTTCGAGTCCTGACTTGCCACCGATCTTGTGCCCTTGGGAAAGGCACTTTACACGTGAAAATGAGTATTGTCCGGTCATGTATTTGTCCCCTGTGTTGGTGGCGGCATTAATATAAGTTGAAGAAACTTGAGTGTGCCGTCACCACGTCTGGTGATTACATGTTGGAATAAAAACAAACGACAGGCCAGCCTTTGTGTTTCGCTGTAAGATAAATGGTTTTAGGTCAGGCTTTTGTTTTTCTGTCACCACCAGGAGTTATAATTAAGTAAGGCCACAGCAAGTAAATTTTATGGATGACATCCTCCGGAGACTCCAAATCTAATGCGAGCGGGCGAACAAAAAAACAAGACGGGCCGAAAAAAACAAGGTTCCTACATTTTAAAATTTTGACTCAATCATTGTACAAATGGTTTTGATTCAGTAGGAACATCACATATACACAGCCAGCATCACATATCACTGCATCTAAGTAAGAAACAAAACATTAAATCAGAGCCTATTCTTGTCTCCTTTTCATAGTTATCTGCCATCCACGTTCCGCCATGCCCATTTTCGCCATGTTGACCACTGTCAGAAGGCAACAAAATGTCTTGTTTTTTTCCCCAAATCAGGCGACAATTAATGCGCGCGGGGATGTCATCCATAAAATTTACTTGCTGTGGCCTAAAGATAAGACATAAGTGAACACTTGTGTCCGTATCCCTTTCTGTACCTTTCTATGATTGGTACTCGGACTGATGATTTACTATTTATTTTTGTATTATATTTTGATTTGTATTTTGTTGAAGAGGTTCATCAGTCACGTAGAATTAACAGTTAGTAGAAATTCGTCAATCAGTGACTGTATTTTTGTAAGGTAAATTTGGAGGTACGTGATTTACCTTACAAAAATACAGTCACTGATTGACGAATTTCTACTAACTGATTTGTATTTTGGTTTGATTTTGAATTATGTTTTGGTTTGATTTGTAATCCGTGACCCCGCCCTCACCCTCGACCTTGTTGAAAAGCGGTCATGTGTATGTACCGAACAAGCTTTCGAGTTTGAATAAAGGCTTACTCACTTACTTATGATCATTCGTTTAAAACATCGGATTGGTAATGCAATTTTTGCAATATAAGGATAATGCATTAACAGCAATATACAGTAGTCTGCGATAAACACGTTCACTCAACACACAAATACACACACACACACACACACACACACACACACACACACACACACACACACACACACACACACACACACACACACACACACACACACACACACACACACACACACACACACACACACACACACACACACACACACACACACACACACACACACACACACACACACACACACACACACACACACACACACACACACACACACACTATCTCACCTGTATCCAGGTGTGTCGTCTCACCTGCGCAACTGTCCGACAGGTGTAAGTGCGTCTCAGGTGTTAAAGTTCTCTTAAAGCTAACCTTTGACCTGGATGCAGAGTTACTCTTTACCGAAGGGGGGTCATTAATCACCTTTCATTACGTCATTATATCCGCCGGTTCAACAGGAACCTACTACCCCTAACACCCTGACACGCATATCGAACGAACTGTCCCTGGAACTGGGTATAAAACACTGGGGTAAAATCTGAAAATACTTTTCACAGAAGCTATTTCCAAATTCCGTCGTTTTATAGCTTTTAGAAAATAAAAAAAAATCTTTAATTCCTGATTCAAAGTATCACTATGACAACGTGTATGTGTTTATGGGTTTGATATCGTGCGTGTTTCTGCAGTTTTACATGCTAGGCACTTTTGGGACTCTGACGGGAGAAAGGACCTAATAAAGGTTGTACATGTAACATTACCTTGTGTATATATTGTGTATGTTGATGTATACATGTACATGTTGATGTATTGTTACGTTTATGTGTATACTCTTTCCTGGAAGAATAGCTGTCACCCTCGGGTGGGCAGCTAAAGGAGAGTTTTAACTCAATAAAGTCAATACCTGTCCGTTATTTCCTGCTGCCTGTGGCCTAACTAGTGTGAGAAAATGAATACACACAGAGAACTTCCCAGTAATGAGTAAGACACAAAATTCACAAAAAAATCCATCCGGGTTCAACCGTAACCAGTGCGGCTGGCTGACTGAACCTAATCCCCAAGCCGATCCCTCTCGGTGGCAAAAAGACAGTATCAAATTGGCCAGGCAGTATCCATTAGCCAGAGAAGCTCCGCGGCCACCGACGGGTGGGGATCAGGACAAAAAAAAACGGCCATATATAAAAATGTAACGATCATTCCCACACAACCTCTGCTTGGAGAGTACACGGATGAAAACGTCTTTTGTGAATTTCGTGTCTTGCTCATTACTGTGAAGTTCTCTGTGTGTATTCATTTTCCCACACTAGTTATGCCACACCGACTTAATTTTATGGATGACATCCTCTGAAGACCCCCAAACTAGTGCGCACAGGCGAAAAAAAAAGAAAAATCCGGCCAAAAATAGAAATGATACTAAACCACAGTTGGTGGGGATCAGGACAAAAAACGGCCATATATAAAAATGTAACGATCATTCCCCCACAACCTCTGCTTGGAGAGTAGACTGAACCTGCGAGCTTTTGCAATACCCAGTGAGCTTAATTTACTGGGAAACGGCTGTGAACTAAAACCATGCAGTGCTGATTCAAGCGAGTCAGTGAGAACTCAAGATAATTTCATAATCTCGGTGGCAAGTGCATGTACGTGTATGAAAAGGTTGGAGTGCATTTATGTAGCTATGAAAACTCAAGTCAACGTGAAAACTTGATTTCTTTCTTTTCTACCAACTACACAACGAGAGCAATATCAGTTCGTATCTTTTATACACTTGCTAAATTTTACAATACATCAGAA